CACTTTGATGTTCAATGTCTCAAATGAGTGGTAGCCCGCTAGGCATATCATCTGGGAACACATCATCAAATTCTTAAAACAAAGAAGTAGCCAAACTACGGAGGGATGTATTAGATTCCTCAAAATTGAGGAGTGACTCCTTATAAACCAACAAGATCATAGGTCGGTTCTCAACTACTGCCATCTTCAACTCACTATATTTTGCAAAGAAATTCAATTTCTACTTTTCTTTCCTCTCATAGGACTTTTTATCTTTACTCTCTTGTGGCTTTACCATTTTTCTCTCACAATTAGTCATCTCACTATTTTCTCTCTTGCTCTCTTATTGTGAAAGATCAATTTCATTCCCTTTATCTTTCAATCTTTTTTCTTCATCACTTTTCAATTTGATTTGATCTGTATACACTTGTTGTGTTGTCACAGCGCAAGAGTAATAGATTTTTCATCCTTAATAAAGTTGTGCCTATTTTTGTATCTATCATAAATCACCTTCCTATCATATTTTCATAACCTCCCCAAAAAAATATGCACATTGTGCATAGGAACTACATCACACATCACTTCATCATGATACCTCCCAATTGAGAAATTCACCAACACTCGTCTATTTATCTTAACCTCTCCACATTCATTCAACTATTACAATTTGTAAGGCCTAATAGCATAGTTAATCTCAATTTTTCAACAAGTGTAGTGCTAGCCATATTAGTACAATTATCCACATCAATAATGTTATCCCTTTGTTACTCCAAATCATCCACTTTGATTTGAGCACTAAGTGCTCGCTGTATAACCAACAGCTCCCACACTGTATACTCCACCTTCTCACCTTCGCTAGCAACTTCCAATTTCGGCATGTCATCATATTCACCCTCACTATTACTCACCATTTCTCCATTGTCGCACGAGATCATCGCCCTTTTGTTTGGACATTGAGAAGCAATGTGTCCCGATCCCAAAGCATCTAAAACACTTGATATTCTGATTCCGAGAGGGTTGGGAATCCGCCTTAGGTGTAGCTTTGCTAGCAATTTCCTATCTTCTCTTTGATAGCTCAATTTTACATTTTGAAACAACCACATCACATTTATTGTTATCCCACTTCGGTTTCCAAGAAGAGTTAGAATTCGAAGAACCCAATAAATATCTAACTGTCCTCTTTCTCTTCAATTGACTTTCCCCCTTCATAGCTATATGTAGCATGTCTTCCAACTCCACATAATGTTGCAACTCTATCACATTAGCCATCTCCCTATTCAAACCATTCAAAAATTTGGCCATGGTGGCCTCCGTATCCTCCTCAACGTTAGCTCTAATCATAGGAATCTTCATCTCCTTGTAATGATCATCCACACTCCTAAGACCTCGGTAGAGCTTGATTTAAAAATATTGAACTAAGGAACCAACACAATCGCCGATAATATGTCGACCTCGTGATTACAAGACTCAAAAATCTCACTCGATTTGTTTGAACGTCACAAGAAGTAATTTTGATAAGTTCAGAATTAATTGGATGAAGAATAAGAAGAAAACAATAATGTCTTGCAATTAATCTCTCAAAAATTGTGTGTTTTTATAATGAAGAATAATAACCATATTTATATGGAATCCCTATAATAATGATTAGATACAAACATTTTCCGCATGATAGCCTTCAATTCTTCCCATGTATTTATAGGCCTCTTACGGTTTCTCCTTCTGGATGTTACTACTCGATTCCACCAAATGATAGCATAATCGGTAAATTTTAGTACCTCAATCTTTACCTTATTTTCCCATAAGTAGTCGTAACAATCAAATACCAACTCTACTTTCTTTTCCCACTCCAAGTATGCCCCTGGGTCACTCATCTCTTTGAATGAAGGAATTGTCATTTTGATATTTTTCATACTTCTATCAACATCATCTCCAACAGGATCTCTACCCCTAATTTCGTGCTTAACTTCTCTATCCCTCATTCTTTATAATTCGACATCCACCAATGCATCCTCATTAATGTCACTATCCGCTTCACATTTACTAGCAAAATACACTCTATGATCCCGCCTACCTTGCCTCCTTGTGGTAGGAATTTTTCTAGGTTTTTTCCTACGCAAATTAGCAAGTAATATGTCTTGAACTCGTGATCACAAAATTTATAAACCTTACTTAAATTGATCAACGCCACACGAATTAAATTTTTGATAAGCTCAGAATTAATTGAATGAAGAACAAGAAGAAAGCAGTAAGCTTTGCAAAATATCTCTCAAATTGTGCATTTTACAATGAAAATAATAACTCTATTTATATGGAATCTCTAGTAAAAACGAAATTGAACTCTAAAAATAACAAAAGATACCACAAAATAGAGTTTTAACTAAAATAAAAGATTGCCCGAAATTTGAAAAAATCGCAGTAGGAAATAAACTATGCAGCCGCGTATTGTAATTCTATGCGGTCGCATAGACTAACTGGTGTCCTCCTTTGTGGTTTCGGTAAAGGGGTATGCGACCACATGCCCTGAACAACTAACCTCTCCATCCATTGCTTGAATCAAATTTCTTCATTTCGTTTCATCTCCCATGCCCAATATGAAACTTGTCCTTTTGCATGTCGTGATCAATGTTTTGTCCATCATGGCTTGAGCAAGTAGTCACATTGTTTTTTTGACCCGTTTTGCTCGCGATCTAGTCATAGGCCATTCCTCAACTATCAATAGATCATTGCTCGGACTTGCCCTCTTATCATGGATCACATCAAGTTTGCCATGAATACTTTGCAAAAAGACCGATAACCTATCCAAACAATTAAAAAGACAAGTTGAAGAAAAGCCAAAAGAGGGATAGCAAAATGAGAATAAAAAATAATCTGAATTATTAATTTCATGTCTAACCACCATATTTTTGGTTTGTTATTTATTACTCATCATTTAGGAATTTTTCAATTCGAAAGATGTATCATTTAAAAGTTTTAATAACATTTTTTTCTTTTTTTAATCCTATTTTTTAATTAAAAAAACTAATGTTTAATTATATTTATAAGATAAAAAATTTAGTTTGAAATTAAATTTTAAATATATATTAACTGGCTGTTTACTTTTTAAAAGTATGACATATTGATAGTACTAACATCAATTTTTTTTATCAGAGAATATTAAATTTTTTATATTTTTTGTATTTTGATTATTTATTTATTTAAGAAAGGTGACTTAAATTTTTCATTCATTTAAAAAATATAGGAAGTATTCCAAAGGAAAAATGGATGGTGGAGGTCGAACCTCCACTTCTTATGTGAGAACTAGGAGCTTCAAACTATTACAATAGACTCGCGTGAATACTATTTTAAATGAAAGATTTTAAAAGTCTTATGAATTCTGTAAAAGTTTTTGAAAGACTTCTATTAATTCCATACAAATTTATAAAAACCCATCACTTAAAAACATTCCATAAAAATTTTTAGAATTCT